GTTACTAGCATGTCAACACAACAGGCTTCTCATATCTGTGTCCAGGCATGAACGCTCACTGAAATGGTACAGTCTGCACTAGTGAGACATTTATTTGAGATGGTGAAACACCTATGTGAGACAACTTTGTGAGACATCTATGGGAAACAGCTGTGTCAGATAACTATGTGAGACAACTGTATGAGACAGGTGTGTGAGATGGTAAGACACCTATGTGAGACAGTTAGTGAAAGATCTGTGTAAAAGCTATTGGGGGACAGTTGTCTAAGACAACTATGTGAGGCATCTGTATGAGACAGGTGTGTGAGATGGTAAGACATCTTTGTGAGACAGTTAGTGAAAGAAGTGTGAGAGACAGCTATGAAAGACAGCCATGTGAGACAGTTTATGTCAGCAGACATGATTGACATCCTTGATTATTGGATTATTGGGCATTATCTCTTTTTCAATACAAAAGGGCACATCCTCACCCTCAAGTGTTATATCAATGAGAAAAGGTGAGCTTACGTAACTTCTTTCTTCATAGTTTTTTTTATAACAGACCTGCTTCGACACATTCATATTTGAATTACTAGTTTTGCTTGATAAGTTATTATATTGACCTCCTTGTTACCTAGGTTCTATCAGTACATGTGTATGGCATTGTATAGAGCCTCGATCAACCAGTACATTTGAACGTTACGTAGCGTGTGCTTAATGATTCATATTGATGTCATCTTGAGTACCTTGTTCCAAATTCATAAGCTTTGTGACATCAATGCCTTTCATCATAAAATTAATGCAAACAGAAAATTAATATGATCAATTCATGAAGCAATATGAAAGTAGTAGATAATAGATAACTTTGTCGCTAATAAGCTGTGTCAGGCGCTATGACACAGCTCATGATTTACAGTGTTTCCTGTTTCATCAACTCCCATGCTTACATTATGATATGAAAAGTTAATTATGGAGCAGAGTGGTCCCAGTTTCTCTTGCTTATAATCATTGGGTGCACACAATGGCTGTTGAGTCGGACTAGCTCTTAATGGATGTCACCAGCATTGGGGCACTCTGCTGTCACTCAACTGATTGGATGTCACTGTACTTTTTGGGGGCTTGTGGTCCAGAAGGCTTAAAGGTATCACAATTCCCTTGGCAGAGTTGTGTCCATTAGGTGCACAAGAAACCTAGGATGTTGGGTTTGAAGCCAAGATTTGCACGATACTTTTAGGTTTGTCAGCACCATACCTGTGCTCCTGGGTTTACCAAAGTAGTAAAAGATCCTGTGACATAACAGAAATACTGTTCAAAGTGGTGTGATAAATCTCACCTCCACTCACTCACTCACTCACTCACTCACTCACTCACTCACTCACTCACTCACTCACTCACTCACTCACTCACTCACTCACTCACGCACGCACGCACGCACGCACGCACGCACGCACGCACGCACTCACTCACTCACTCACTCACTCACTCACTCACTCACTCACTCACTCACTCACTCACTCACTCACTCACTCACTCACTCACTCACTCACTCACTCACTCACTCACTCACTCACTCACTCACTCACTCACTCACTCACTCACTCACTCACTCACTCACTCACTCACTCACTCACTCACTCACTCACTCACTCACTCACTCACTCACTCACTCACTCACTCACTCACTCACTCACTCACTCACTCACTCACTCACTCACTCACTCACTCACTCACTCACTCACTCACTCACTCACTCACTCACTCACTCACTCACTCACTCACTCACTCACTCACTCACTCACTCACTCACTCACTCACTCACTCACTCACTCACTCACTCACTCACTCACTCACTCACTCACTCACTCACTCACTCACTCACTCACTCACTCACTCACTCACTCACTCACTCACTCACTCACTCACTCACTCACTCACTCACTCACTCACTCACTCACTCACTCACTCACTCACTCACTCACTCACTCACTCACTCACTCACTCACTCACTCACTCACTCACTCACTCACTCACTCACTCACTCACTCACTCACTCACTCACTCACTCACTCACTCACTCACTCACTCACTCACTCACTCACTCACTCACTCACTCACTCACTCACTCACTCACTCACTCACTCACTCACTCACTCACTCACTCACTCACTCACTCACTCACTCACTCACTCACTCACTCACTCACTCACTCACTCACTCACTCACTCACTCACTCACTCACTCACTCACTCACTCACTCACTCACTCACTCACTCACTCACTCACTCACTCACTCACTCACTCACTCACTCACTCACTCACTCACTCACTCACTCACTCACTCACTCACTCACTCACTCACTCACTCACTCACTCACTCACTCACTCACTCACTCACTCACTCACTCACTCACTCACTCACTCACTCACTCACTCACTCACTCACTCACTCACTCACTCACTCACTCACTCACTCACTCACTCACTCACTCACTCACTCACTCACTCACTCACTCACTCACTCACTCACTCACTCACTCACTCACTCACTCACTCACTCACTCACTCACTCACTCACTCACTCACTCACTCACTCACTCACTCACTCACTCACTCACTCACTCACTCACTCACTCACTCACTCACTCACTCACTCACTCACTCACTCACTCACTCACTCACTCACTCACTCACTCACTCACTCACTCACTCACTCACTCACTCACTCACTCACTCACTCACTCACTCACTCACTCACTCACTCACTCACTCACTCACTCACTCACTCACTCACTCACTCACTCACTCACTCACTCACTCACTCACTCACTCACTCACTCACTCACTCACTCACTCACTCACTCACTCACTCACTCACTCACTCACTCACTCACTCACTCACTCACTCACTCACTCACTCACTCACTCACTCACTCACTCACCCACCCACCCACCCACCCACCCACCCACCCACCCACCCACCCACCCACCCACCCACCCACCCACCCACCCACCCACCCACCCACCCACCCACCCACCCACCCACCCACCCACCCACCCACCCACCCACCCACCCACCCACCCACCCACCCACCCACCCACCCACCCACCCACCCACCCACCCACCCACCCACCCACCCACCCACCCACCCACCCACCCACCCACCCACCCACCCACCCACCCACCCACCCACCCACCCACCCACCCACCCACCCACCCACCCACCCACCCACCCACCCACCCACCCACCCACCCACCCACCCACCCACCCACCCACCCACCCACCCACCCACCCACCCACCCACCCACCCACCCACCCACCCACCCACCCACCCACCCACCCACCCACCCACCCACCCACCCACCCACCCACCCACCCACCAGGATGGACTGCTGTTGATCCACTTGTTGTCTGGTCCGGATGGGGCTACTTACTAACTGCAGTGCATTGCTGGGATATTGCCAGGGATGACCTCAAACAGAATTCACTCACCTTGTACTTGCGTATTTGTGTATGTCTAAGTTGTGTGCTATCATCTTCTTGAGGCAAAGAGTTAACTGACTATAAAAGTCCACTTCCCACCCTTGCCAAACTAGACTGGATTTCATGAGTTACATTTTGGCAGAACTAATGAGTCTATGCGTAGTCCAATCAAAATCACATAATGAATTACATGATTTTCAACGTGCATATTTTTGTCGACTGTGGGATTTGCAAAGCATGTGTACCACCAACTGGGCGTCGACAGATATTTTGCAAATCTTTTCATGTTTTTAATCAAGGCGCTCAAGTGATTTGATGAACCTCTCGGGGTAAAACCCATTTTATTACAATAAAGATCTTGATCATGTTGATTATCGATCAGATCTTTTTGACTGAAGCAAATGCAAGTGATATGAGTGATGGAATCTGATTGGTCAATAGGAAGGACATAGAAGGGACATAACTTGTAATAGCCACTGGTGATGCTGCGATCGAGCCTGGAAATTCCAGCCTATTTCGGCAAGGGTGGGAACTGGACTTTTATAGTCAGTTAACGCCTTTGCCTCAGGAAGATGTGTGCTCAGGACTGTCATTGTTTATCTTGAAATAACTTACAATAGCTGAAGAACTTCAGTAGTATTGTATATCAAATCCTTTGAAGTTTTTAACATATACATGATATACCGTATTTGACATAATAAGCACCCAGGGCGCTCTCAAAGTTAGAAATAGGGGGCTCTTATTAGAATATTATTTTGGTGAAAAACAACAGAGTTGAAAGATCGTAAATTTCGTGGTTTATGCTAACAGCCTGAAATGTTTATATACGACAGATATATTTTTTCCAGAATTTAATTTCCCATAATTATGAATGCATCTAACATGTGTATTATACACGAATAAATAAGTCCTGTGTACATTGATCAATCGGAAGGGGTGCTAATTGGGATTGTACGCTAGCCAATATATTAGAAAATATCGCAGTGGGCGCTTATTAGAGCGGGGCGCTTATTACGTCGAATACGGTATGTGGTATCTGACATTGACACTGTGCTCAGTGGCAACATATTTTATGGGCTGTCATGCGTGCATATTGATCTACTTTCAAAACTGCCTAATTCTTAGTTTGTAGTATTAATTCATATGTTGCCTATTCCTGTGTTGTGTCCATTTACATATGAGCATGATGAGGTGAGGGATATGCAGCTGTGTATTGGGATTCACTTATGGTTTAATATCTTGATATCAGTTTTTTTTTTAGAAAGAAGTACTTACACATTTAAATCTGCTATATTATGCACATATGTACATGTGATTTTTCAAAGTAGTATGTTTTATGTCCTCAATAGTACTTTCAATTAAACATACCATAATTAGTTATAGAAATGACTGAATCCATAAGTGAAAATTTCAGTATAATAAAACAAAAATGAATTGGAACTGATCATTATTGAGCAATATAAATGCCTCACGAATATTAAACAACTTACTATTTTCAGCCGTTTATATGAAATTATCACCAGTTTTTTTCACTTTCAGCTGTGCAAAGTGAAGATTGTCATGCTATGAAGGTTCACTAAGGCAGGCGCCATGTTCTCCGTGCGCATCGTAACCACCGACCACTATCTAGCCCCACCTATACCTGGGCTCGATGTCACACACTCCCAGTTCCGGGGTTGTGATGTCAGGAGAGTGCCTGTCCTGAGGATATTTGGAGCAACACCAGCTGGTCAGTGGGAGAGATCACCTCAGAGCATTATCTGTAGTTACTGATGCTGTCAGGATACTGTCTGTTAAGGCTGTCACACATTTCAGAGGCATTTCTCATTTTGTGTGACAAATCATGTTTACAGAGCATTTGGAAATTTGTTGTATTTAGTGTTTTCAAGTAATTGTCATAGAATTATTTTATTCTGTCAGGTTATCATTGTTTTAATGGTTTTGTGATTGTTCAATTGTCAGCCTGTTGTCAGAAAGAATTATTGAAAACTGTCGTGCCAAGCAACACAAAACCATGACTATCATCTTACCATCCACCCAAATAACACACCTCAGCCATCCACCCTGATATCACATCCATCATTCAGCCATCCACCCTGATTTCACACCCGTCATTCAGCCATCCACCCTGATATCACACCCGTCATTCAGCCATTCACCCAAATATCACACCTGTCACTCAGCCATCGACCCATACAACACACCTGTCACGTAGCCATCCACCCTGACATCACACGTCATTCAGCCATCCACCTTATATCACACCCCTCATTCAGCCATCCACCCTAATATCACACCGGTCACTCAGCCATCCACCCTGATATCACACCTGTCAATCAGCCATCCACCCTGATATCACACCTGTCAATCAGCCATCCACCCTTATACCACACCGGTCACTCAGCCATCCACCCTGATATCACACCTGTCAATCAGCCATCCACCCTGATATCACACCTGTCAATCAGCCATCCACCCTGATATCACACCCGTCACTAAGCCATCGACCCATACAACACACCTGTCAATCAGCCATCCACCCTGATACCACACGTCACTCAGCCATCCACCCTGATATCACACCCGTCATTCAGCCATCCATCCATATAACACACCCGTCACTCAGCCATCGACCCATACAACACACCTGTCACGCAGCCATCTACCCTGATACCACACCGGTCACTCAGCCATCCACCCTGATATCACACCTGTCAATCAGCCATCCATCCATATAACACACGCGTCACTCAGCCATCGACCCATACAACACACCTGTCAATCAGCCATCCACCCTGATACCACACGTCACTCAGCCATCCACCCTGATATCACACCCCTCATTCAGCCATCCACCCTGATATCACACCTGTCAATCAGCCATCCACCCATACAACACACCCATCATTCAGCCATCCATCCATATAACACACCGGTCACTCAGCCATCCACCCTGATATCACACCCGTCATTCAGCCATTCACCCAAATATCACACCTGTCACTCAGCCATCGACCCATACAACACACCTGTCACGTAGCCATCCACCCTGACATCACACGTCATTCAGCCATCCACCTTATATCACACCCCTCATTCAGCCATCCACCCTAATATCACACCGGTCACTCAGCCATCCACCCTGATATCACACCTGTCAATCAGCCATCCACCCTGATATCACACCTGTCAATCAGCCATCCACCCTGATACCACACCGGTCACTCAGCCATCCACCCTGATATCACACCTGTCAATCAGCCATCCACCCTGATACCACACGTCACTCAGCCATCCACCCTGATATCACACCCGTCATTCAGCCATCCATCCATATAACACACCCGTCACTCAGCCATCGACCCATACAACACACCTGTCACGCAGCCATCTACCCTGATACCACACCGGTCACTCAGCCATCCACCCTGATATCACACCTGTCAATCAGCCATCCATCCATATAACACACGCGTCACTCAGCCATCGACCCATACAACACACCTGTCAATCAGCCATCCACCCTGATACCACACGTCACTCAGCCATCCACCCTGATATCACACCCCTCATTCAGCCATCCACCCTGATATCACACCTGTCAATCAGCCATCCACCCATACAACACACCCATCATTCAGCCATCCATCCATATAACACACCAGTCACTCAGCCATCCACCCTGATATCACACCCGTCATTCAGCCATCCATCCATATAACACACCCGTCACTCAGCCATCGACCCATACAACACACCTGTCAATCAGCCATCCACCCTGATACCACACGTCACTCAGCCATCCACCCTGATATCACACCCCTCATTCAGCCATCCACCCTGATATCACACCTGTCAATCAGCCATCCACCCATACAACACACCCATCATTCAGCCATCCATCCATATAACACACCGGTCACTCAGCCATCCACCCTGATATCACACCTGTCAATCAGCCATCCACCCTGATATCACACCCATCATTCAGCCATCCATCCATATAACACTCCGGTCACTCAGCCATCCACCCTGATATCACACCTGTCAATCAGCCATCCACCCTGATATCACACCCGTCACTAAGCCATCGACCCATACAACACACCTGTCACGCAGCCATCCACCCTGATATCACACCTGTCACTCAGCCATCCACCCTGATATCACACCCGTCATTCAGACATCCACCCTGATATCACACCCGTCATTCAGCCATCCACACTTATATCACACCCGTCATTCAGCCATCCACCTTATATCACACCTGTCATTCAGCCAGCCACCCATATATCACACCCGTCATTCAGCCAGCCACCCTTATATCACACCTGGCACTCAGCCATCCTTCCTGATATCACACCCGTCATTCAGCCATCCACCCTGATATCACACCTGTCATTCAGCCATCCACCCTGATATCACACCCGTAATTCAGCCATCCACCCTTATATCTCACCCGTCATTCAGCCATCCTTCCTGATATCACACCAGTCCCATGCTTGCATTAAAAGGCGACTATGCTTGTCGTAAGAGGCGACTAACAGGATCGGGTGGTCAGGCTCACTGACCTGGTTGATGTATGTCATCGATCCCAATTGTGTTGATCGATGCTCATGATGTCAATCACTGGATTGTCTGGTCCAGACTCGATTCTTTACAGACCGCTGTCATATAGCTGGAATATTGCTGAGTGCGGCGTTAAACAACAAACAAACAAACACACCAGTCATTCAGCCATCCACCTTATATGACACCTGCCATACCTACTTACTTAATTTGGGAATTTAACATGAGCTTTCCGACATATGACTATTCCTCGCACGGGCCTGCCAGGCCATTTAGTGACCATTACGTTATATTGATGAAATACAGTATGTTTGAACATGTTGAAGTTTATCCTCCTGTATATAAACACTGTAAACGAGCTGGCACACTATCTGTATCTTGAATAATTCATCTCGATTGTCCTGTACAGCCTCTATCTGAATGCATCGATAATCTTTGTATCTAATTCAACTGTAGAAATTTGTACACATTTTATCTTCTGGTGTGGTTTTGTCTGTCATTGAAATATCTGTAACAATGAAGCTGACATTTGCCTTTTGATTTCCAGGACAAAAGACGTGCATGCATGTTCATGGAGTATTTCCTTACCTTTACGTCCCTTATGACGGCACTCAGCCATGGGAGCGATACCTGCGTCTCTTTGCTACAAGCCTTGACAAGGCCATTAATGTGGCAAACAACAGTGCTAAGTCTGATGTGCAGCATGTCTTCAAGATTTCCATTGTTTCTGGGATGTAAGTACATTGTCACGGTGAAACATAGTACATTGCCAAAGCAGTGGTAGAAACTAGCATGTTTAGTCCACTTGTCCTTAAAAATAATAACAGACAGCAAAATCCTTAAAATGTCACATTGTTCAGTTTAGCAAGGACGACAGTACTAGTGCCAGTTTCTAACGCTGCAAAGTGGTAGTTCATTGTTTGTGCAGCATAGTACATATCCAAAGTCCTGTATCATTGTCTGTGCAACATGGTACATATCCAAAGTCCTGTATCATTGTCTGTGCAACAAAGTACATATCCAAAGTCCTGTATCATTGTCTGTGCAACATAGTACATATCCAAAGTCCTGTGTCATTGTCTGTGCAACAAAGTACATATCCAAAGTCCTGTGTCATTGTCTGTGCAACATAGTACATATCCAAAGTCCTGTGTCATTGTCTGTGCAACATGGTACATATCCAAAGTCCTGTGTCATTGTCTGTGCAACAAAGTACATATCCAAAGTCCTGTCTCATTGTCTGTGCAACAAAGTACATATCCAAAGTCCTGTGTCATTGTCTGTGCAACAAAGTACATATCCAAAGTCCTGGCTCATTGTCTGTGCAACAAAGTACATATCCAAAGGGCTGTATCATTGTGTGTGCAACATAGTACATATCCAAAGTCCTGTGTCATCGTCTGTGCAACATAGTACATATCCAAAGTCCTGGCTCATTGTGTGTGCAACATAGTACATATCCAAAGTCCTGTCTCATTGTCTGTGCAACATAGTTACATATCCAAAGTCCTGTATCATTGTCTGTGCAACATAGTACATATCCAAATTCCAGTCTCATTGTCTGTGCAACATAGTACATATCCAAAGTCCTGGCTCATTGTCTGTGCAACATAGTACATATCCAAAGTCCTGTCTCATTGTCTGTGCAACATAGTGACATATCCAAGCGTCCTGTATCATTGTCTGTGCAACATAGTACATATCCAAAGTCCTGTATCATTGTCTGTGTAGCATAGATCAGAGATAACTCCATTGAGAATTGATTCAGTTCTTAGTTAACCCTCATGGTGTTTGTTAGAGTTACAGTAGATCAATCTTTTTTTGTCTGTCATTTGACTTTTTCTTTCGAACTTGGACAACAGATTCATCGCTCATTTTACATGAAATGCAAGTCCTGAAAGTGCTTTTGAAGCTGAAATTCTTGTAATGTGGAGGTGATGTTTTGTGAGTCGGCAGTATATATGAGACAGGGAGATCTGTTGGTTTGTGATAGGTTGCAAGCTGGGAACTAGGTGTGCATTATTGATTGTGTTGCTGGTGGTGACATTTGTACTTCCGACTCCACTATGGCAGACCAGCATTGTGTTCCACACTCAATGTCACTAAACATGCATGCCATTCTCATGTTTCTTCCTCTCAAACAAATTGTTTTTATCTGATAATATGTATTTTCAAATACTACTACAACTTCATTGGATTTTCCCAAATTGATTGCAAATAGTTTGATTTTGGAAAAAAGGCAATCATGAAAATTGTTTCAAGAAGACTTTTCACTTTTCAAAGGCGATGTTTTGATCAAGAGTCGTTGATGAAGTCACAGTACATGGGCAGATCAATAATAGTGTTAACGCGAGCTGTGACCTCTGACATATGAGTGATGTGTTAAGGGGCATAGAGATAAGAAGGGCTTGCCCTGAGTTGAGAATCATGGTGGAACAACACTGATCCTTCCACAGCTGGATGCCGAGACTAACCTCCATGCACATCGACAAGGACACAGCAACATTGATTATCGATGTGACATAGAGATTATTGATTTTCTCTGATAAGACTGACATTTGTGAGAATGCTTCCTAGACATTGGTCTCGACTATATCTGGTCTTCCCACAGGCAGGGAAGCTTGACGAGAATGGCGGAGGTAGAATAGTCCACTGACCAGCCTCCATTGATTTGGGGAATGGGGATTTTAAGCAGAGAAGGCAGTCGTAGAGTCGCTTCACACATTCTGGCTTCATTTGCTTCACTGCAGCCAGCACTGACGTAAAGAAATCACTGAGCCTTGTTCAAGGTTGATAAAAAAAAATTATCTTGTGATTTGTCGGAAATCTGTGTATGTGTCAGTTTTTTGGATTAACTAGAAAAATATGAATATGGCAGTTATTACAGCTGGAAGCTGTGCCTGTCAAAAAGCATCCTCATTTATCTCTGTGAAGAGTTGCATCCCTTGGGCATGGAGGAAAAATTTGAACGTGGGTTTAAATCCTGGTTCACTCCAATTATGTTTCTAGGTTTGTCAGCACCATACCCATGCTGTAGAGTTTAAAATGGTAAACGCCCAACACCTGCATCTCTTTAGGCTTTCCTCCCACATTAAGCTTACATGCTGTGACATGTCTGAATACTGTTCAAAACAGTGTTGTACCCACCTCACTAACTCATGCACTCACACACGAATGAAAGAACGAACGATGCCAAATCCAGGCCTACATGATTACTTCAGTCAATGGATCAGTGTGCACTCGATTTGTTTCGTTCTCAGCTATGTCACCTTTGGGCTGATGGAGGTGTGGACAAATGTTAATTTGATCTTTGTATGGATTGACAATATCCATTGTCGACAATGTTGTCTTGAGCAAGTTATTATTATTTATGTATAATTACATGTAATCAGTTCCTGGCTGGCTTTGATGAGCCAGGTGACATCGTCAGTGGGATCTGGAAAATATGATGTTTTGTCTCCAAATGTACTACTGTCTGTTGGGGGGTAGTGCTTGTTTGAGTAGGCACCGTCAAACTCTTCGCTGTGACCTGGCTGATTGTGTGCCAGCATATCCATATACGATCGTATGGCTGATCCTCAACTGGTTTGTCTGGTCCAGCCATTTGTCCACGACTTCAAGCGAATGAGATTCAGAGTATGTAAAACACTGCCACATTGCCCCACTGAAAGGTTTGACCAAGTGGTGATTCCAGAAGAATAGGACTCCAGCAATGGGCTTGTATGCCGGTCACATGAGGTGGCTCTGAGTGGTCAAGGCTGCTGACTTGGTTGAGAGCATGTCATCATGCCCCAATGGTGTGTTGAGCGTTGCTTGATTATTTACATCTTCCCGAGGCAAAGGCTTTCACAACATATAAAAGTCCAGTTTCCACGCTTGAGGAACTAGACTGGATTTTCCAGACTCGATCATAGTGCTACCAGTGGCTATTACGAGTTATGTCCCATCTATATCCTTCCTATTGACCAATCAGATTCCACCTCTCAAATTACTTGCATTTCCTTCAAACAAAATGACGGTGCCCAGTCAAGACAATCTGATCAATAATCAAGATCTATACTGTAATAAAACGGATATTACCCCGAGAAGTGCATCCAATCACTTGAGCACCATGTCTAGTTCGTTATGCGATTTTGATTTGACGATGTATAGAATCATTTGTCCTGCCAAAATGTAGCTCCATAATTCAAGCCTAGTTTGACATGGGTGGAAACTGGACTTTTATAGCCAGTTAACATCCAGTTGGCTGAATATTGCAGTGCAACAACAAACAAGTAAACAAAGTCCATTGTTTGAATGGATAGCTTCTTTCTCATGTATATTTCATTTACTGAAACATTAACAGATAGTATCTTCATTCCATACATCTCAACCTTGTGAAGATCGAACTAGGTTAGAACTTGTCTTCAGCAACCCTTGCTTGTCGAAAGAGGCGACTAACTCCGGTGGTTAGGTTCATTGACTTGGTTGATGCTTGTCATTGTATCCAAATTGCGTAGATTGATGCTCATGATGTCAATCAGTGGATCGTCAGGGTCGATTATGTACAGACTGCCGTCATATAGCTTGAGTGCGCTTAAACCACTCATGTCACATTAACTATAGTAATGTGACAGAATTGCGTAATCCTTAACTTCTTTTGAGTTGTACATGTCAACATTTTTCCCACGTATGTCCTGAATATTTTAGCAAGTGATATATCTTAAATGCCATCATGTTGTTTATAAACACATGCGGAAACAGGTGTCACAAAGTTGCTTCAGAGTGCCAACTGATGATACAGCCTTGCGGGTTTAAGAATACAAATCCCCCTAGCTCTGCCTAGGTGTATGAGAGCAAGCCTTTGTCATGTAAGATACAGTAGTTATTTAAGGTGTAAAAATACAGTTACAAGGGACTGAATAACTTGACTTGGACTGAGACATTGAGTCTCGCCTAGAATGTCTCTTCTAGATCAGTGTTATCCACGTGTAGTGGAAATAAAATGAGAATGCATTGCAAATTCTTTTTTCACAATTTTTGCAAGCGTGTGTTATCCAATTTGGATAAAGAACAGTGTAAATGTTACTACTGCTACTACTGCTACTACTGCTACTACTACTACTACTACTACTACTACTACTACTACTACTACTACTACTACTATGCTTGTCATAAGAGGCGACTAACGGGATCGGGTGGTCAGACTCGCTGACTTGGTTAATGCATGTCATCGTATCCCAATTGCGTGGAGCGATGCTCATGATGTCAATCACTAGATTGTCTGGTCCAGACTCGATTATGTACAGTCAGCTGTCATATAGCTGGAATATGGCTGAGTGCGGCGTTGAACAACAAACAAACAAACATACTATTACTACTACTACATGTACTACTAGACCTTATATTGCACATATTTCGCACCACTGGTCACTGAATCAGTGTGCACTCAACAATGATTCTCAGCTCCCTGGGGATCATACAACCCAAGCTGCCTGTTTGGTGCTAGAAGGTTAACAATCACATATATAGAATCCTGTGATTGTTTGCTGGTTAAAAATTTAGTTCAAGTGCCACCTTTCATGAGTGACATGTTCGAGGTGGGTCATGGTTGATGACATGCCTGTGATGTACATGTTCAGTACCTCACCCACTGTCATTTTGGGAATAAGGACTGCTGCAGCTCGGGAGGCATGATTCAGGGGAAAACAGGGGACTGTAATTTGTCATGGTTTCTTTACCTTGATGCGCTCCAGTGGTTATGGCATGTGATGATTGCTGACACATTTTCACATGTTCAGATGTTATGGGGGTGATCAGGTTAAGGGAGGTGGAGAGATGGCTTATTCATGTTGATACACACGTCCTCATTCATCAGTTGCAGGGGCGGTCAGGTAGCCTTGTGGTTAAAGCGTTCGCTCATCACGCCGAAGACCCGGGTTCGATTCCTGACATGGGTACAATGTGTGAAGCCTATTTCTGGTGTCCCCAACCTTGATATTGCTGGAATATTGCTAAAAGCTGCGTAAAGCCATACTCAATCAATCAATCAATCAATCATCAATCAATCATCAGTTGCAAGGAGGTGTTAGTCATTTCAGAAACATGCCATGTAGGGGTTGGCAGTTAGACTTATTGTTTACAGGCAAAGGGAAGCCATGCTACACGCAACTTTTATTTCGCTTGCTTCACAACGAACAACTGAGCCTTTTGTAATGAGTTGATCCTGATTTCTAGAGGGTGCAGGGAAATTAAGCAGGACTGCTTCAGGGCACAATGCTGTAACATAACAACAAAATTTGAAATTCAACAGCCCTGAGGGCAGACTTGCTTGGGCTGGCGAGATGGGTGTGATTTATGTTCCTGTGTGGTGTCTGGGGCTATTCTTGGCTCACTCTCATCACCATGTCATTACCAAGTCAGGTACATGTACTCCTCTCTGCAATCATTCACTGGCTCATTCCACCATCCCTGCACCCATTCACTGGCTCACTCAACCATCCCTGCACCCTTTCACTGGCTCACTCAACCATCCCTGCACCCTTTCACTGGCTCACTCAACCATCTCTGCACCCTTTCACTGGCCCACTCAACCATCCCTGCACCAATTCACTGGCTCACTTAACCATCCCTGCACCCATTCACTGGCTCACTCAACCATCCCTGCAGCCATTCACTGGCTCACTCCACCATCCCTGCACCCTTTCACTGGCTCACTCCACCATCCCTGCACCCTTTCACTGGCTCACTCAACCATCCCTGCACACATTCACTGGCACACTCAACCATCCCTGCACCCATTCACTGGCACACTCAACCATCCCTGCACCCATTCACTGGCTCACTCAACCATCCCTGCACCAATTCACTGGCCCACTCAACCATCCCTGCACCAATTCACTGGCTCACTTAACCATCCCTGCACCCATTCACTGGCTCACTCAACCATCCCTGCACCCATTCACTGGCTCACTCAACCATCCCTGCACCCTTTCACTGGCTCACTCAACCATCTCTGCACCCTTTCACTGGCTCACTCAACCATCTCTGCACCCATTCACTGGCTCACTCAACCATCTCTGCACCCATTCACTGGCTCACTCAACCATCTCTGCACCCATTCACTGGCTCACTCCACCATCCCTGCACAAATTCACTGGCTCACTCAACCATCCCTGCACCCTTTCACTGGCTCACTCAACCATCTCTGCACCCTTTCACTGGCTCACTCAACCATCTCTGCACACATTCACTGGCTCACTCAACCATCCCTGCACCTATTCACTGGCTCACTCAACCATCCCTGCACCCATTCACTGGCTCACTCAACCATCTCTGCACCCTTTCACTGGCTCACTCAACCATCCCTGCACCCTTTCACTGGCTCACTCAACCATCTCTGCACCCTTTCACTGGCTCACTCAACCATCTCTGCACCCATTCACTGGCTCACTCAACCATCTCTGCACCCTTTCACTGGCTCACTCAACCATCTCTGCACCCATTCACTGGCTCACTCAACCATCTCTGCACCCATTCACTGGCTCACTCAACCATCTCTGCACCCATTCACTGGCTCACTCCACCATCCCTGCACAAATTCACTGGCTCACTCAACCATCCCTGCACCCTTTCACTGGCTCACTCAACCATCTCTGCACCCTTTCACTGGCTCACTCAACCATCTCTGCACACATTCACTGGCTCACTCAACCATCCCTGCACCCATTCACTGGCTCACTCAACCATCCCTGCACCCTTTCACTGGCTCACTCAACCATCTCTGCACCCTTTCACTGGCTCACTCAACCATCTCTGCACCCATTCACTGGCTCACTCAACCATCTCTGCACCCATTCACTGGCTCACTCAACCATCTCTGCACCCATTCACTGGCTCATTCCACCATCCCTGCACCCTTTCACTGGCTCATTCCACCATCCCTGCACCCTTTCACTGGCTCACTCAACCATCCCTGCACCCATTCACTGGCTCACTCAACCGTCCCTGCACCCATTCACTGGCTCATTCCACCATCCCTGCACCCTTTCACTGGCTCACTCAACCATCCCTGCACCCATTCACTGGCTCACTCCATCATCTCTGCACCCATTCACTGGCTCACTCAACCATCCCTGCACCCATTCACTGGCTCACTCCACCATCCCTGCACCCATTCACTGGCTCACTCAAACATCCCTGCACCCATTCACTGGCTCACTCAACCATCTCTGCACCCATTCACTGGCTCACTCAACCATCTCTGCACCCATTCACTGGCTCACTCTACCATCCCTGCACCCATTCACTGGCTCACTCAATTATCCCTGCACCCTTTCACTGGCTCACTCAACCATCTCTGCACACACTCACAGACATCACCCACCTATTCATACGTCCACCCAAACTACCACCTACCCACCTAAACTCACTCACTTGCCTGCTCACTCACTCACTCACTCACTCACTCACTCACTCACTCACTCACTCACTCACTCACTCACTCACTCACTCACTCACTCACTCACTCACTCACTCACTGACCACCTGCATTATTTCAATGCACAGATAATAAAGGCAGAAAAACCAGGACGATTTGAAGCATAGTAACAGCAATGTATCTACATAACAAATCTCATCTTGTTGGTGTACAGTTGTACATGCTGCTTAGATCCTGTACACAGATAGGATGACTGACAATAGTCACTGCTGTAAGCAAAGCTCCTGGATAGAGATGCTTTGTGTCACTGTGTTTGTCTGATCTGTTCCTGTGTTTGTCTGATCTGTTCCTGTGTTTGTCTGATCTGTTCCTGTGTTTGTCTGATCTGTTCCTGTGTTTGTCTGATCTGTTCCTGTGTTTGACTGATCTATTCCTGTGTTTGTCTGATCTGTTCCTGTGTTTGTCTGATCTGTTCCTGTGTTTGTCTGATCTGTTCCTGTGTTTGTCTGATCTGTTCCTGTGTTTGTCTGATCTATTCCTGTGTTTGTCTGATCTGTTCATGTGTTTGTCTGATCTGTTCATGTGTTTGTCTGATCTGTTCCTGTGTTTGTCTGATCTGTTCCTGTGTTTGTCTGATCTGTTCCTGTGTTTGTCTGATCTGTTCCTGTGTTTGACTGATCTATTCCTGTGTTTGTCTGATCTGTTCCTGTGTTTGACTGATCTGTTCCTGTGTTTGACTGATCTGTTCCTGTGTTTGACTGATCTGTTCCTGTGTTTGTCTGATATGTTCCTGTGTTTGCCTGATCTGTTCCTGAAACAAACTTGTGGATGGTGTGTTTAACTGTGCTTCTCTGATTCCTGAAACAAACATGTAGATGATTTGTGTTCCTTTGTTTCAGTCCAATGTATGGATACCATGCCAAGGAAGAAGAATTCCTCAAGATCTACATGTTTAACCCTTCATCTGTCAAGAAGTAGGTCATATGTTTATTACCTGTTCGTTAAACTTCATCATGTTCACTGTGTAAATATATTTCTGATGTTGTCTGTACCTGCTTTGAAATCGAAATGTCAGTGTCATGGACGTGCATTTTTCTGGACAAAATATGTTCTTGTCTGATGGCCTTGGGCTAATATAATATCCTGTAAACAAAGAGTAATACTTCCTCTATGAACTCAAATAAATCCATAGAGTCATGGGGGGCACGGGTAACCCAGTCGTCTAAGGCGCTGCGATTTGCTGTGCAGAGTTGGGTCCCTTGGGCACGCCAGAAACCTATGATTGTGCGTTCGAATCCCAGTTCGCCCTGTTTATGTTTCTAGGTTTGTCAGCACCATACCCGTGCTCGTGGGTTTCAACGAAGTGGTAAACTTCTGAGACCTGCATCACTTCTGGCTTTCCTCCCACATTAAGCTGACACGCCGTGATATAACTGGAATACTGTTAAAAGCTGTGTTAAACCCAACTCACTCACTCACCATAGCATCATGGGGGCACAGGTGGCCCAGTTAACTAAGGCGCTGCAAGTCACTGTCCAGAGTTGCATCCCTTGTGCATGCCAGAAACCTATGACCTTGGGTTTGAATCAAGGTTCTCTTGATCATGTTTCTAGGTCTGTCAGCACCATACCTGGTTCCCCCAAAGTGGCGAACGTCTGAGATCTGCTTCATGTCGGGATTTTCTTCCACATTAAGCTGGAATACTGTTGAAAGTGGTGTTAAACCCAACTTACTCACTCTGCTAACATCATGGGGGGAGAAAACAGGCAAAAAGGAACAGTACTTATTGTCATCAATTACATGTCATGATATATTTTAGGATCTGGTTTATTGCATATCAGCAAGTTAATATGGATGGTCTTTTTATCGATATTTTATTTGACTTGTGAAAGACATGATTGTTGACCCCGAATATTTATCATGTAATCAAAAGTAAGTGCGCAACCCAAAAATATGTATTGTATTCAAAACTGAACTGAACTTATTTTCTGAAATTCAAAGGTATTTAACATGACATCATTCAGTGTAATAATGTAACGTCTACGATAATTTTGGAAAATATTTGATTTTGATTGGTATCAAATCACAATAGCCCCCCCCTCTGATTGAAACAGACAATTTTGTTTAAACATATTTTTATTTCAAAAGAAATCTGGATCGATAAACAAGCAAAACTTGCTTATGTAAATACCTCTCCAGGTAATAACTTTGCAACAGCTGGTTATATATCAGATTATATGTAAGATAGTGCTAAACCATGCTAAACATAAACATACTAAATGCACAAATGAAATATATGAAGCCAATACAAGTGGTGTCTGTGAAATAAGATATAGCAGTTTTCCATTATTACATGCATAAAATAAAGCTACTCGAATCTTTTGCTTTTGACAATGAAATCGTGAATTGATTTAAGAATTGTCATGTTTGTAGAACTGCTGACTGAACTACTGCCATGTAATATCGTTTTTAAATCATACCCATGTGTGTAGAAATACATAGTGTTTCTGATATTATTATATTATTATGGTAACAGCCGATTTGACAGACTCATCACCACGGAAGCTAATCTACAGTACTTCTTATACAGTCCATGCCGGTAGCAATAATTAAATAATTATATGTACAATTATAGGCTGCAAAATGCAAAATTATGGTAACTACAGTCTCGAAAGGATTTGTGGCAATACATTTTGTGCAGAAACACAGATAGAAATCTACAAAGAGAATGTATTTTTCAAAGTTTTGAGGATAACAGAGAGCTTGGAATTTGGCGCTTTTCTTCATACGACCTTAACATCATATCTTTGATGTCACAATGAGCAATATGATGTCATAATTGTGACCTGCAGTGTGGAACAAAACCTTTCCAAGACTGGCTTAGTTTTCTTTAGGGGTGCCCACCTCATGTTAGCTTATGAAGCTGTGCTTTCGGTTCCAAATTCAATTTAGTGTGGTTAAATCTACAGGTAACCTAGCTCTACATTGAAAACACAGTACATGTATGTTTAAGGAAGAGAATATATGGATGTCAACTTCTTTATTATGAGGAACACAACGTTTCAGGGTATATGCTTACTCCTTCATCAGGTGATTAGTGCAAGTGTGGGTTTCCAATCCTGGACGTGACTCAACCCCCAAAAGTACAAGAATCTGTACTTTACTAAGAAAGTGTTATCCCAAGCACTGATAGTATGGAAGCCAGTACTTAAGTTTCATAGATATAAGTAATAGGCCATGGACACTGGGCAAATGGGAAGCCGGGGGTAATTAGCACTGATAGGTGAAAGAATGGACATAGGAAAGAGCATATTGAAGACAGCTAGGCAATTAGCCCTGACAAAGATCAAAGCAATAAGTCCCAAGCACTATAGGCAGATAGGTTCCCTGGTCATGGTTCATGGCTGGCTGGTGTCTCCTGTCCATGTCAATGGCTTCATGTAGTTTCCTTTGTCGCCAGTTGTTGTGTTCCTCATAATAAAGAAGTCGACATCCATATATTCTCTTCCTTATGTGTATCACTTTCAAAGACTGACAGTATGTTTATCTCCTAACTAATGAAGCCTATCCCTCTGTTTATCCTGTTGTAAATAAACAAGTCAACTCAGCCGATTTAGCAGTTATTAACATTCGAGAACATGAAGTGGATTATTCTTTTACAATTTAGGAATTTTTACTAAGTCTTGTTGCAAGCTTCCGGTTGAATAGTAGCTCTGGGTACAACCCTGGAGCCCCATGCGAAAGCCCTCCTCAGAATACAGCAGAATACAGGGGACATTCTGAACTCAATGTGAATCAGGGTGTTACGATTCACCAACCAGTCAGTTCAATTTATGTAAGGTAACAGGTGGAATACACTGTTGTAATGTAGTATCTTTTACTTGAGTGCGCAAGACGTCTAAGTCTGGTGGTTTTTCAAACGATTTCCGAGGAATTGAACTTCCTTGTACTGTGTATTGTAGTCCTCACCTATTCATGTTGCAACGAAGTGTACTGTTGCAGTCCTAAAGCTGAATGTTTTTGAGGTTCTCAACAGGTGACAGGGAAGCATCAGTTAATATGCTTTGTGTAGGTAAATTCTTAATAGTGAAGAAACTGTTTTGTTATGTTGTGGTGGAGCCAAACGGACGAAATTTAAATATGAATGAACCAGAAATTGTTTAGGCATGGCAGTTTTGTGGAGAGTTAAGGAGGCTATAAGTTCAGAATATTAAATTCCTATACAAATCTACTTTGTTCGTAGTTGGCAGTTTGTTGTAGGCGATTTAATATATTTTTATCAAATTAATAAGTACACCTGTTTTTATGCAATATTTTGAATGTGTAAATTATGACCAATTATGAATGGCTATAAAAGCTGGGCCAACGTGTAATGATTTATGTGTAGATAGACTGGATGGTAGTAATGTGACTACATCCTTGTCATACACAGCTTTGTTTACAAACTCAGCTGATTATTGAGTTTTGGCAGGTGTGCAATCAGATAAGGTGGGTTGCATGTCAGCCCTAATAATACTATTATTTATTGTTATACCTTTGTTGGTAACCTTTGGATTGTGTATCAGCTATCGAGCTCATTGAAAACATTAATGAGATATGTTTCTGGAATAAACCTATTGTGTCTATAGCATGTGCAGCATACACAAGGTTGCAATGTTAAAAATGCAGGTCAAGTCTATAAATAGCAATGTCACATAGTAAAGGTTTGAACCCATTCTATGTGTTCTTGAAATACAAACATTCAAAGTACAGATCTACGGAAAGTATTAGATTCCAGAGCTACAGATTAGCTACGTATCTGCGTAAAAAATACACCCCCTAATATGAATATAAAATGCATTTGGTATCTTGCTTTCCATTTTATTTCATTTTGTGTTACTCATTAATGTCTGCTCTATAGACTTCATTACAATCTACGTGTATGATGTACAATATTAGGAGAAGCATTAATATAGGCCTTTTTGGCCTGTTTGCTAATCCTTTTTCCATTTTGTAACGTTATGTAATGTAAAATCTGAACATTAATGGAAATAAATAAAATACTGTTTAAATCAAATACCGCCCCCCCCCCCCCCCAAAAAAAATAAAAAAATATTCAAAACCCAATTACTTTCAATTAACTTGCGTACAGAAAGGCATGCATTAAATGAAAAACTCAAATGTATGAAACCAGCATGCATAAATGCCCAATGAAGCTATTTCAGTATGCGTACAATGGAGCTAATTTCTGAAACACAATTACAAGCTAATTTACTTTCCGAGTCAAGCTTATAGTTAGAAGCCTTATATACATGTACATCTAAAACATTATTTTATTTTTTTGGAAATTCAAAATGTTAACTCATTTTGGGAAAAACCCATTAGACTGATGAATAGATGAGTGAAAAAATATTGGTTACCTTATGACAAATGTAATAACCCAATTAAAATAGAAATCTTCAAGTAAAAACTCTATTGCTCAAAAAGTTAGCTGGAACTCTGGATTCTATTACATGTTTATCATGTGTAGAATTGTCATTTTTAAAATCGTTCAACACGGCTGCACACTGTTTCACTTTCATTGTTCCCGAGTACCTTCAGTCAGTGAAAATCAGGCTCGGTTATTTACAGGCCACTGTCATCTAGTTGGAATATTGCTGAGTTTGGCATTAAACAACAAAAAAGCTAAAGAATACCTCTGTAATTGTTTCCATTTTGGGGCATGGTTTCTCAGATCAAACCTCTGTTTCCATGACATTATTAAAGGCTCACTCAGGTAATAATAAATAAAAGGATTCAGAAAATATTGCATTGTCAACTTCCATCACCTTAAATCTAGGACTTTTCATGTCTTTGGTCGTCCAATCTTCCAGTTTCACAAAAGCATCCAATCAGTGTAACAAAGACACAAACTCCATGTTCTTCAACTGTTAACCACTCAGGCCTATTGACTAGGGCCGTTACGATTCACTCGCGTATTGGTTGAATCAAACCG